AGCTGTCTCTTATACACATCTAGATGTGTATAAGAGACATGTGTGTGTGTGTGTGAGAGAGAGAGAGAGAGAGAGATGGAAGCCCTGCTTTATGCTCAAATCGTCGGGGGGAGCACAGAAGGGGCAACTCGCAATGCAGCATGGGGAGCACCGAAAAAAAAAAAAAAAAAAAAAAAAATGCAGCGCATCTGCGCACCACCCAGGGGAACAGGCCGCAGTTGTGCGCACACGACGGCGCATACGAAAGTGCGCATGGCGCATGGCGCATACAGATGCGTGATGCGCGAGCTGCGCTTGCATCTGCCCCGTGCGCATGGCGTAGCGCACACATGCGCCGCAAGTATGGTTATTAAGTAATATCAACTGGTTGGCTCTATCATTTGTGACGCATAATCACACCCGTAACCCGTAATCAACGGCTAGTTGAGGTACACCAGATCCATCCGCCCACGGATCCGCTAGCATCATTTTCCGTTGTACATTTTCCCTTGTACACACACTTTGGGATGTGGATCTTTTTGTTTGTTTGTTTTTTGCGTATTATCTTTTTCTTCTTCTTCTTTTTCTTCTTCTTCTTCTTCTTCTTCTTCTTCTTCTTTTTTTTTTTTCTTTTTTTTTTTCTTTTTTTTTTTTTGCGTATTATCCTTGCGCAGGGGTCATGGTACTCTTCTCTCCCTGTATCGTTCCAATTTTAACGAATTTCGTTTTTTTTGTTTTTGCGTATTATCCTTGCGCAGGACCCACTTTGGGCTCAGTCAAAATGACAGTGTGTCAGTGACTTTCTATGCCAACACACAAGGAGCTCACGTGTTATGCGCCACAAGATCAGAGGTATACATCTCGACCAGATGTTCGAATCTTCTCCATATCACACGTATTATACCTGATGCTGATCGTCCACGACAAGCACCACATGCCATGAACCACACTTACTTTTAGTTCCAAAAAGTTGTCATATAGCACGTATTATCTTCTTCCTGATTTCTCTTTGTGCTTCTACCTGTGGAATTTCAACAAGCACAACATGCCTTTCAGTTTCAAAAACGCCTCTGCTGGACGAAATTCCACACAGGTCGTATCACCCTTTTCCATAGAGGCTCCCACGCAAAACGATTGCACGAGTCTGCATCAGCCACGAACTTGAACGACGAATCATTTCACCTCCTAAGGTTTCATAACTTCATTCATCCACTGCAGCCGGTAATGTGATGTGATGTTTTATGTTCACGTTCTCTATAAAACATGAACAGCAATCGCAATTGAAAAACCAGACAACGAAAATGTGCACGGTGCACCTACCAACCATGGACCATAAGACCCCAACCAAACCCAGCTGAGGGTCTCACACTTCACCACCCCAACCCCAATCGACCCAAAGACGAGCAAGCATACATGGATCATCCATCATTATCCAATTATGGCCCTTGATAATAAAAAAATACCGAGAGCCAATGAAATTACGCTTCGTGTACCCTTCATGAATGCAAACGGTACATCGAGTGCGAGGGACCCCTACAATATGAGCCCTGCACCCATCTGAACATAAATACAAACCCACGTTCTGTCCATAGTCACGGATCAGCGATGCGGTGTGATTTCAATCAGACGCGCCTACCTTAACCCTTCACCCAGAGGACAAACAGTCCCACCAATCGGCCTGCACCCATCAACATATAAATATAAACCATAGTCACCGATCAGCGATGCGGTGTGCTTTTGATCAGACTCGCCTACCTTAACCCAGAGGACAAGCTCTCCCACCAATCAGCAATGCAGTGTGCTTTTGATCAGACGCGCCTACCTTAACCCAGAGTACAAACTCTCCCACCAATCGGACAGGCGCGACGAGTCTCTCTTCCCCTGATTTCTCTTTGTGCTTCTACCTGCTGGCTATCCACTACCATCTTTACCCAAAGAGAATGCCCAATCATTATAGCTGTATTTGGGGCAACTTTCAGTCCAAATGCAGCTATAACGACCTGACGTTCTTTTCGGGTGAAGACGGTAGTGGTGACAATAGAGCAGCAAAGCGAAGATCGAGCCTCCAAGAACCCGACGATTGCGCTCGCACTCCGGTTTAATTCGAACAACTTTCAGGGGATACTCACACTAGCTCTATCTCAAATGCATCCGACCTCATTCACGGTCGGTGCTGGATGCATCTGGCCCAAATTACGTCCAAAAAACAGACAAACGTCCTTGTGTGAGTATTCCCTCGACAAGACGAGTTGCTGGCGACATCGGTGAAACTTGAACCGATACAGAAAAGGGTAATTAGCAACTTAGCAAAATAGCCCCTCTGAGAGGGCGACAGACATAAATCGAGAAATGGAAACAAAAAAAGCAAAAAAACAAAGTCCAACAGCCGAGCCGTCGTTCTCCTCGCGGAGGGAAGCAGTATTTACATCTATTGCCTCGCAACACGCAGAAAACATGTATCTTCCTCCACACAAAACGAAAATCAAACAAAACGGATGACCCTGTCCAGTCTCTGTAGGAAGATACACTCAAACGTTTTCTCTATTGTTTCGTCCGTTGTCCTGTCCAGTTTCTGTGGGGAGATACACTACACTCGTTCGTTTTCTCTATTGTTTCATCTGTTGTACAAAAACACCCTTACCCTCGAAGTCATGCAGTAATACTATATAGTACATTGGCTGTATTCTCCTCCGAATAGTCTTACACTATAGCACATCGCCTACTACTTCTCCTCCACGTAGTCTCACACAAAAACTATAGTACATGGACTATTACTTCTCCTCCACGTAGTCTCGCACGAAACGTTAGCGCCAAGATACCAAACGCAGAAGGGGAAAAAAAAAAACAAAAAAAAAAAACACCATACATACAAAGTCAAACCCGAATAAACAAGTCCAACTCACTGTATATGTCTAAAGCAAGGGCCTGTGAGCGACCATGCACATTTTCTATCCATCTTTTTTTTTCTTTCTGGTTTATTTTGTATATAATTTTCTCATGGCGTTGTCTATATTAATACTACACATCCATATCGCTTTGGATGGAACTAACTCCAAAAATCCCGGTTTTGACTTTGACGGTAATTGCAGAAATAGCGCGTTGAACAATTCGAAGGTTCACAACAGAAACGTTGTATGGGTCCGAATTTCAGAAAGATCTATTTATCTATTTTTGCAAGGAAAGTGGAACCCCAACTGCAAATATTAATCATTGCTGTGGGCTAGGTCCCACTTGCACGCATTAAGCGATATTGACCGTAGATAGCAAAGATCAACGGCCAAAATGTCTTAATCCGTGCAAGTGGGACCTTGCCCCCGGGAACTCTAACAACGAAAACGGAAGAGGTTCTGAACAGGGGGAGTTATAAGGAAGAAGATAAAAAAAATGATTTCATTTTTTCCTGTTTTTCTTTCTTTCTTTCTTTCTTTTTTTCGTTTTTTTAACAGGGGGAGTTATAAGGAAGAAGATAAAAAAAATGAATTCATTTTTTCCTGTTTTTCTTTCTTTCTTTCTTTCTTTTTTTCGTTTTTGCGCTCTGATTTTCTTGTGAGAATATATATATATTTGCTTGCAACGAAACTTGACCCCACCCCGCCAATATTTTTGCTGTGATACTATTGCCACGCTCTTGCTTTTCTTTTTTCTGTCTTTTTTTTTGCGCCGCGCTATTTTTGAAAATCACCCATTTTGTACCAGGACCCTCGGTTTACTAGGGACGCAGTGGTCCGTTAGGAGAGTGTCTAGATACCAGAGTCTGTTCCACCGAGCCGTGTAGGCTCGATCGTCGTTATAGACGTATGCAGCAGTCTTTGACTTAGATATTAGGTTGGCATTAGGAGTGAAAAAGTGTAGACCAAGGTAGTGAGCCTTAGTTGTTTTAATGGGTTGACCTGGGAGTTCAAGAGAGGTTATAAAGTGGGTCCCCAGTTCGTCTGGGATGGTAAGGTAAACCGGCTGATGCTGCCGGGATAACTCCAGGTTGAATTGCGAGGTCCCCGGCCTCCTACTATTGATTGTTGTTAATGAATGTGTCAAGTTTGGCTAATAGTAATAATAATAATAATAATAATAATAATAATAATAATAAAATTACACATTTAACAAACATATATACATAGACCCTCAGTGGCGTGACACAAGGCCAGGGCAACAATCCCTTGTCCCAAACATCTGCTTAATATTCAAAAGAACTTCACGATAAAAGAGGAAATAGAGGAAATTCCAGGCCAAGTTATGTACACCCATAGGCTGTGGAGGTTCCATAGTCAATCCCTGGAATATCTGACAGATTCAGGTCTATTCTGGGTTAAGGTCTATTCTGCCAGCGGCATGCAGTAAGTCGCCTGGCAGGTTTCACCACAGAAATCAATGCTGCATCGCCTTTTGTATCATCATACTCATGTCCTGAAATGGGACACCGGGCCCGCTTCCAAGCATGTGGTACTCCGAATGGGGCACTGGGCCGACCCGCGGCCAGCTTCCCAGCAATGCCAGCATGTCCTGAAATGCTGCATCGCCTTTTGTAACGAAAGAACTGCACAATAATAGAGGTAATAGAGGAAATTCCAGGCCAAGTTTTATGTACAACCATAGGGCGTGGAGGTTCCATAGTCAATCCCTGGAATATCTGATTGATTCA